GGCGATATGCTGACTCTGTAAACCGCTTAGAGAGGGCTGAAAGCCCTATGAAGCGGTATATAAGTCTAACTGCTATTGCTATTGCTATTGAGCCAGCTGGATGACTAGTCATTGTCTCTCTGCCCTAAGAAGGAGGCAACGGCAAAGCACATGTGAAATCTTGCCAAGAAAACTTCAAAGTCTTATCCAGGCAGTCCCCAGGAGTCAGCATTGATTTGAAGGTGCGCACACACCCAAACATCTGATTCAGCGCTTTTAGAATTCCATTATTGCTTTCTTCTTCAATTCTGACCCATTGATATCTTACAACATGTTAGAATGGGTCATCAACTTGCTCTATATCTGAACATCCTCTGTGATGTATATGTGTGCCTTACCCCTTTCAGTTACATCAGGAATAGGCATTATAGTCCATTTTATATAAACCTCAGCTTTCTCCTAGAAAAAATACTATTTTGCAACCAAATATAGTCAAGTTTTCTGAATGTGAAGAACAAGAGTGGGTAACCATAGCCACTTTGCCACCTGTGGATGTCAATGCCTAGAATCCCTGAGCCAGATAAGGTTGTGGGAGGACCATAGTGGCCCATCACTGATTAAGAGGCTATCTCTCCCAGTTTTAAAGTAGCAAATCTCAGTTCCCCTCCACCCTGGGCATAACATTTAACCAAATTTATCAGTTTTGATCCCTTCAGAAGGTTCTAACCTACTGGAAATGGCTTGTCTCATCTTTCAGAAAAAGCAACATATATTTCTGCTGTTTGTATTCCTCTCCATGGTTAGGCAACATAACTAATGTGTCACATTTTAATAAATCTTGCTAATTAATCGGGAATGAGATCAGACAACCTACACCCAGTAGCCATGATCTCAACAGCTTCTGTAACACGTTGTTTGTGTGCTTGGTTTATTTACAGTAACTAAAAAGCATATAAGTTAAAAATCAGAATGAATTACAGGAAAACAGAAGGAAGGAACTGGGTCTTTCCCCCAAACAACCACAGAATCAATTTTCCATTCCAAAATCTCTTCTTGTACTAGAATGGAAGTTTATAGTGATGCCAAGGAATAAAAAAAGGTAGTGACTCACCTGTTGAATATCATTTCTGTTTGGCACCTTTTATTCTTCTCAAAATTCCAATTCCTCAATACCATCAATATTACAGGCACATCAACTAGTGATTTTAATTATGAGACTGATTTGCCTGCTACGGTTGTACCTGAACAACAAATCCTCTAGTTGCATTATATTTGGAAATTCCTGTTACCATGGACAGCCCAATAACAAAAGGCGATGATAATATCGATGGTGGCAATTGCTCTGTCTTGGTATCTTTGAATGTATTCCTCTGCAAATAAAAGACAGGTGTGGATGAGGTCGCTTTTGACAAGTGTGTGCATGTGAATGTATTTCCCCTGGAAATTTATTGTTATTTATTTATTTATTTATTTATTTATTTATTTATTTCTGTGACGACTTTATTATCTTATTTTGTTTTGGTTCATGGCGCCCTCAGCCAGATGTTCAGACTGGAATTGGTATTTTTATCCACCTAATAAGTCCTTCCAAAGGACCTAGAATAGGTAGATGTTGATGTTAGAGGATGTAAGCTGTTTGGAGTAAAGCTGCTTTTTGCAATGGACTGATGGTGAATTTGTCAATGCCGATGTTGTTCATGTGGTGCTCCAGCTGTTTTGGGGTTGCATCAAGGTGCCTATTACTATTGATATTACCTTTCCTTTCTCTTGCCACAGCCATTGTCATCGTCATCATAGATTCTTTCTTAATACTTTAGGATTCTTTCTTAATAGTTTACCCATTTTAAGGGAGTACCGTGGAGTATCTACAACTAAGGAGAAATTTCCTCCTTTTAAAGGGAGACCTATTAATCATTGGAACGACTTGCCTCCAGAAGTCGTAGGTGCTCCAACAAAGGAGATTTTAAAGAAGAGATTGGACAACTATTTGTCTGGGATGGTATAAGGTCTCCTGTCTTGAGCAGGGGGTTGGACTAGAAGACCTCTGAGGTCCCTTCCAGCCCTATGATTCTTCTTCTTCTTCTTCCTCCTCCTCCTCTTTCTCCTCCTCCTCCTCCTTCATTTTATTTTAGTAATAGAAATATCACTCTAGTTCTATTTCCAGGTAAAATTAATCTGTATTTAGTAGCTAGAATTCTTTGACTCTTCCAATGATTAAGGAGTTAATAACTCTCCTTGTATGCAGATGTTTGTTTATTTAAAAGTGAAGCATGTGATTGAAAAGAATCACTTGCCTAATGCAGGGTACTAATTATCTTTTATCAGACAAGAGGTTTTATGTGACTGATGAATTCTTCTAGCAATGTAGCATTAAGTTAATTACTCCCAAAGTCCCCAGAAGAGATTGAGAGTTGTTATTATAAGATTTCTGCTTGTCCTTCGCCAATGGAGAAGGAGAAGGAGGGTCACCATGAAGTTCATGTGGATCAGTAATAGGCTGCCTTTGGCCCTGACATCTAAGAGACCTCAGTGCTTTTTCTAATTCCCTGTTGTGGCCCGCCAGCAGCCTGTGGAGCTGGCAGCAGATTCGGACAGTGAGGAGGTTGGGGAGGAACATGGGCCAGTCCTGGAGTCTGGGGAAGGCTCTGATGAGGGCTCTGTGTCAGAGGCAGAGAGGGGGCCAGAGCNGTTTTCCCAGATGTGCCAACATGGCTCTCTTAATAAATTGAAACTGAGGAATGCTTTGCCTCGGACTCTGATTTACTTTTGGATGCTATTTGGAACCCTGACAAAGTTTTATCTTCATGTTGAGGTTCTCCTAGGGCTAAAATGTGTAATGTGGCAAAACTTACCACTTTAGTTTGTGTGAAATACATATTTTATGACTTGCCATTAAAGTAGCCGTGTTGTGAATAGATAAAACAAATGTGTTTGATGTGCCCCATAATAACATTTAAAGTTCCAAACGTGCCCATCACTCCTAAAACGTTGGAGAATCATGGATAAAAATCTATATATGTAACAGATATGTAACTATATCTGTTACTTTGGGATCCACTAGATATTTTATTTCTGAGTTTAATTAATAAGAGGAAGGATGAAGGCTTAAGGTTCCTCTTGATGTCCTTCATAGGTTGAGTGATATTAGCTTCAGAAGCAGGAAGTCCTTTATGACCATTGGTATCTCCTTCAGAATGAACATATGATGTGGGAAAATGAGAAATTGACATTTTTGACAATCTACATGCAAAACTAAAAATACAATGGAGCACACATCCTTTTCAGTTTGCAGCACAATTTAAACACAATTTCCAGTTTTCAGGGTAAACACAAATGAACAATCGTTGATTTTCAATGCGATGTTTGTTTCACAGGCTCAGGCTACATGAAGAAAAAATTATTAAGGACCGAAGACACCACCTGAAGACTTACCCGAACTGTTTCGTTGCCAAAGAATTGATTGACTGGCTGATTGATCACAAAGAGGCCTCTGACAGGGAGACAGCAATTAAACTGGTGCAGAAGCTGCTGGATCGTAGCATTATTCATCACGGTAAGTGAAAAGAATCTACGTTCTCAAGCTCTGATCCAGAAATGTTAGGGCTCCTCAAAGACCTCAGGATCGATCGAGTGCTGTGGTTTGGGAATATAACATGAAATCACAAAACGTATAAATAAAAACATCTGGAATGTTTCATCCCTGTGTTTTATGTTTCAGTGTGTGATGAGCATAAGGAATTCAAGGATCTCAAACTTTTCTACCGCTTTAGGAAAGACGATGGGACTTTCCCACTTGACAATGAAGTGAAGGCTTTCATGAGAGGACAGAGAATATATGAAAAGTATGTTCCACACACAGTAGGTGAAAAGGGACAGCCAGTCTTTCCCTCTGTTCTCTTTTGCTTTCCTTCCTTCCTTCCTTCCTTCCTTCCTTCCTTCCTTCCTTCCTTCCTTCCTTCCTTCCTTCCTTCCTTCCTTCCTTCCCTCCTTCTTTCTTTCTTTCTTTCTTTCTTTCTTTCTTTCTTTCTTTCTTTCTTTCTTTCTTTCTTTCTTCTTTTGTATATGTTTTATTTGCAGTTTTCATTTTAAGAACCAATATATTTTGTGGATAGTGTAATGACTGGGTCAATACATTTTTGCACAACTCTAACAATAATACAATTACATATGCATAGCTTTTGTCTTCCGATTTCTAACTTTAATAAACTCATTATAGTTATAAAATGTTCTTTTATACATCAATTTATGTAATATTATTTCCCATTTTCTACTCCTCCTCCCTCCCACACTTATTGGGGTTCTTCCACATTCCTCTCTTTATCTTTAAACAATACTATTCTATCTTAATTGATTCTTTACCGCTTTCTCCAAAGATATATTTAAGCATCAATTTCATGTCTTACAATATGTTTATTGACCCCATAGGATCGCCAATATTTTAAATATTACTCATATTTCACCAAATTTATATCTCAGTTTTCTGTAATCACCAATAAAACCATTCTCCTTTGTTTCTGATGTTCCGTTAGGGATGTTGTGACATATCTAGGCAAAAGATCATGGCCCTTTTCAGAGAGAATAACAGAGTTGGAAGGGACCTTGGAGGTCTTCTAGTCCAACCTCAGCACAAATGCCTGTGAGTTGCTCAGTCGTCAGGGAATGCAGACTAAGAGTTCCTTGTTGAGATGCGCAGCTATAGAAATCAAATCAAATCAATAAAAAAAAAATAAGTTGCAGGGAGGGGTGAAATCAAGTCTGACCACTAGTGGGAATGGAATACAGTGGAACATAGGTCTGTCTAGTTATACTTGCTCCTTGTTGTCCATCAGTGTTACTTGACTGATTTGTTCAATGTCTATGGAGATTCTCAGTCATCTAGGTCATGGTTGTCCCAAAGATGGCTTTTCAAGAGACAATTGGAGTTTCTGGTTTTTCTTTGAAGACGTTTCGCTTCTCATCCAAGAAGCTTCTTCAACACTGACTTGATGGTGGGGAATGGAAGGATTTATACTCAATTGTTTTGCGCGCCAAACCGGTAGTAATGCCAGCAGGAACCCTCCCCTGGGCCCTGCCATTACCTGGCATGATGAACGGACTGCATGGAGACTCCTTGGAGGGGAGGGGTGGAATGGGAGGGGCAGGGTGGGCATGGCCAGCCAGAGGTGGCCTCTGGGGGTTTTCCGAACTGAGCAGAATCCTAGCGAGATGATCATCCGAACATGTGCAAACCTCCAACAACCCACCCCTGATTTCTTTCAAACACCCCAGGTTTGAATTTCTCAAGGCACTCTCCAGAGGTCCAGAGGGGGAGATTAGAGCAGATGAAATATCCGCAGGAGCTGGCCATAGCTATCCAATGTCACATGTCTTTATCTGCTGATTTTCGAGGGGGAATCTCATTATAAATCAGTGATTGATGGGACGGCTGAGACAACCCCAAAACAGAGGAGATGGTGGTGACGGTTTGTTCTCCAAGCTTGTTTAGTTTCCGAACATTTCGTCACCAGTCTCTTGGTAGCATCATCAGTTGAAGTGTCTTGTTTCAGGTCTCTTCTGCTTTTATAGGCCTTATGTGGTCAGTTGGTCACATGACCGACAGGGCGACTCCACCATCAGATGTCCCTCACATGACTTGACCTGTCAGTCACGTGGCCGACTGACCACATAAGACCTATCAAAGCGGAATGTCAGGGTTGACACTGAAGACAATTGAAACCAGACACCAGAAACCAAAGTTCCGCTGATGATGTTACCAAGCTTGGTGATGAAACGTTCAGAAAGTAAGCAACAAGCTCAGAGAACAAACCACCACTATCTACCACATAAATTACAAATATTTTCCACCATTCCTAATGTTTTGTGATGTTTAAATGTTTTTTTCATTCTTTTTAGCTGATCAGCATGTTTTACTACTTTACAGCTTGTATATAAAATTATTCTAAGTTGCTGGTTTGGTACGGGAAAAATGGGGTTAAGTAGCATTTATGTCTAAAAGAATTAATATACACATTACACATTAAATGTATGATTTTCATCCAGTCCTAGCTCTTCAGGGGTTCCCCCCCAAGAGAAATGTTATGCTAAAACTAGCAAAGGTTATGGAAGATAAATCCACAGCATATCATTAAGATTCAGAACAGAAAGTTGCATGGGAGATATTGAATGTCATGCTAGATTGTTTGGGTCAAATAACAATGGAAGTAAATCATACTCTCTGCTCACAATAAGAGGCATGTACAGTAATTTTTGCTCAAGCTTTGCAGCTTGCTCGGAACATGGGTGCTGACATTTACTAGCAGTTGACATTTACTAGATCTGAGTAGTACAAAAGGTGAACCATTGTGTAATTGGGCAAATTAAATAGGAGGCTTTGGCACAATGCTTCCAATCTGAATAAGCAAAGGTCGCTATTTAGGGGGCACCTTATAGAGGAAAAAAAAGTTGCATTTTGATTATCTGTTGCAGATGACGGTATTATCATGTCAAAATTAAGGAAAAGGGAGATGGAAGGTGTACAGGTTTGTACATAGTGATGGATGAAGGGCTGCTTTTAATGTCTTCTAAAAATTACTTACAAATTGAAGTGTAGCTGTTTTTGTTTAAATGTGGATAAGAACATGTGGGAGGTGCCACTACAGGTGGAATCCTTGAAGATGGTGGTCAGTGATTGGTGAAGATCATCCTTTTATGGTATCTAAACAAGGTTTCTCTTTCGTTTTCTTGTCCAATTATTTTTTTTAACTCTTCAAGTAGTTCAAGAGATACTATAAATAACTCCCTTTTTATATAGTCCCTATGTGGGGTAGAGTCAGGGTTCCTGGATGGAGTTCAGCACTTATTGCTGAATAGATTAATTATAGATTAGCAATAGCAGTTAGATTTATATACCGCTTCATAGGGCTTTCAGCCCTCTCTAAGCGGTTTACAGAGTCAGCATAT